TAACCCCACCCACCCCCTCCCACCCACACACACCTCCCACGTTCAGCTTACATAAAGTTGATATATCCAAACTTTTATACTCGCCAACAATCCAATTAAAGTTTACAAGTCTTAAATCAGCTGTCAGGCTTGTCAGTAAGATAAACAAATTTAATTTCGCGGGTATAAACCTTCACCATACGAGATCCCGACCGTATTATAAACCTTACATGAATACCAAACACTGACCCTAACGCTATGCCCTAACCTAACTATAAGGATGAGAATCAACGTTTCCTCAAAAGGTAAAATGTAATGAGAAGGTATATTTTATGTACGCGGTGTTCCAAAAGTCTTACACAAAGATGTATGTATTTTACAAAATGACTGCGCGTCAGGTTCAAAACTACTGCGCGGCCGCGCAACTGCGCAGCTTAGAGGAAACATTGGTGGATGTTAACGTTACCATGGATACCAGGTATATAAAGACGTATGTATGGCGACTGGCGGCTGCTCATTCAAGGCTGAATTATCTCACTCGGTTAACCAGTTAGCCAGTCAGCCACGCCCAAGTTAACCAACCGTTTCAGACACGCAGACTTTAAACCACACAATTCAAAACTTACAAAAACTTTTCCAATCCATTCCTACACAAAGACATCATTTATTTTTTGTATTCATTTTATGCAACTTTGTTTTTTTAAGCCCAAGTCATAAAAACATAATGCTCGACGTCACAAATGAAATCATCGACCCCCCCCCCCCCTTCTAAGATTTTAGTAGACCCTGAAACTAATTACCCCCAAGTATATTTTACTGCCGGCGGGGACGGTGGGACGGGGTTTTAATTGTTAGTTGACATTTCAAAATCTATTCAACGGCAGTAAATCTTTCAAGCAGGAAAATTAAAATGGCTTTTATGGTTGTTCATTTTTTGTCCTTGCTTTTACATGAATTAATTTTTTGTTTGACGTTCGTGTCGCTGGTTTACGTAGAGTGGTTGTACATGCTGGTTTGTGTCGGAGGAGATAGGGTAGGGGATCGAATCACGTCCAGGCGATGGGTGGAGGTGACCAGGCGATTGAATCCAGATGGACAAATGGTGACCTATGGTGATTACATGCTGGTAAAAAAACGGCAAATGGTGACCTGAGTGTACAACGTAGATGGGAAGGGGAGGGTAAGAAAAATGACGATGACCTAAAGGTGTGATAGAGGTGTGGTCACGTCAATCAAGGGGAGACTAGTGGTGATGTAAGGAGATGAGGTTGTCTACTGGCGGTCTTGAGAAAAATAGGTTTCCTTAAAGGCTACTGTTTATACCTCGGAAAACGAAGCCTCAGAAGTACACAAAAACTTCAACAAAGGCAATTTAAGCGACTACAACAACGTCATCAAACGGAAAGTTAAGCGACTACAACAACGTCATCAAACGGAAAGTTAAGCGACTACAACAACGTCATCAAACGGAAAGTTAAGCGACTACAACAACGTCATCAAACGGAAAGTTAAGCGACTACAATAACGTCATCAAACGGAAAGTTAAGCGACTACAACAACGTCATCAAACGGAAAGTTAAGCGACTACAACAACGTCATCAAACGGAAAGTTAAGCGACTACAACAACGTCATCAAACGGAAAGTTAAGCGACTACAACAACGTCATCAAACGGAAAGTTAAGCGACTACAATAACGTCATCAAACGGAAAGTTAAGCGACTACAACAACGTCATCAAACGGAAAGTTAAGCGACTACAACAACGTCATCAAACGGAAAGTTAAGCGACTACAACAACGTCATCAAACGGAAAGTTAAGCGACTACAACAACGTCATCAAACGGAAAGTTAAGCGACTACAACAACGTCATCAAACGGAAAGTTAAGCAACTGCAACACCAAAGATATTTTTTTAACAAAGCTAGGATTTACTAAAGATTATTTGTAAATTGAGAATTTCTTTGGTTGCGCCTTTTCAGCCAATTAGGTCTAAAATCATCAAAAGTATTGTTAATGCCTTTAATTGATTTTCTTCTCTACCCATCATTAAACACATTTTTATTATTGTAACACGGCTTAAAACAAGAAAATCCAATTAATTAAATTTTTCTTTAGTTACTTTTTGCATCCACTTAAAAAAAAAAAACTCCATCCAAACAAAAGCTGGAACAAAACAAATTTACGTTTGCAACATCCCACATCAAACACGAGCATACAACAACAAGAAATCATTATAAACTCAAAGCTATTAACAATGGACGTGATTAATACAAGCCCTTACAGAAAAATAATTGAAGTGGGCGGGGTGAGTGGGTGGCGTCCGTCAATAACGATCACCACCCTCCCATCCAACACCACCACCACCCTCCCCCACACCCCATGCATCCCTATGCTTGTTATTGTAAGTTTTGGAAATCAATTTTTTTCTCTCCCAATAATTACGCATTTATTCCTCTCCCCATGATAATTATCTATTTTCTTTCTCGCGCGCTAAGTAGCGCTGATTAAAATCCCATATCCGAGGCATGCGGCGAGGGAAGAAAACAGCCCACAATATTGGGTCCCATTTTCTTTTTTCCATGTCCGCGCGGGACGTCTTTAGAACGGAGAACTAAGTTTGGATTCTAATCGCCGCGATTGTTATGATACTTTTTAGGCCTTTAAGGTCTTTTTTTTTCTCTTAAAAAATAAAATGGAAGGAGAAGAAAGGGAGGTAAGAAATGTGTGGGCAGAAAAGAAAATTAATTTTTACTGTAAACCATCGATGCTAGTTGATGCTCGGAAAATAAACACGTGAATGCATATAGGAGAGAACACACGGTAAAACGCTTCAAGTCATTAAACTTAATTAATTAACCGCTACGTCATTAAGACGCTTCCTGTTATGTTATCAGATACCAAATCACATAACACTGCGGCAATTTAATGGGTTATTTCCCTTGTATGTATGTATGTTGTACTAACTACCTTAGGATATCTAAGACCTGACATTGACCTCCCCCCCCCCATCACCCCTATTTTAAGTACATATTTTATGAAACTCTCCTACTACAAACCCTCTCTTGCTAATGATAAAATGATTGAATTAACACACAACACATAAAGTTTAGCTCAAGCTGTGATTATTTTGTCTTCCACCTAAAAGGAATCTGATGCAAGTAGAAGTCTTGAAGTCGAGTGGTTACTGGGTATAAAAGAAAGGGGAAGTTAGATAAGATTTTTTTGTATCTTCTCTGATGTTTTTTTAAGCATCCTCCCTCACTCACTCACCCCTCCACCCCCCCCCCCCCCCCTACAAGATGAGGATCAAGTCTTTTATCTTGAGCCCCGCGGGGCGCCAACATTAGAAGATTGTCAAAGATGGTTTTAAAACAAATATTTAAAAAAAAAAGGAATTGTAAGCCGATGCAGAAGCTTGAAGGGAATTAATTTCATTAACCTATTGATTTTGTTGTGATTATCTTTTCTTTTTTTTTTCGCTTGATATCCACAACAACAATAACTGGAGCAGTGTTACCATATCATCATCACAATGGAAGATGGAACATAATTCATTCGACATAATTATGTGTGGAACTATACATACTGGAAGTACATGGGGTGAGGGGGGGGGGGGGGGGTAGACATGAATTGGGGGGGGGATGTTGACGTTTTAGTCGGTGTGCGACATCATGAAATGGGGTGGGGGGGGGGGGTGTAAAACGTTCATCAATTCATTTTTATTTTCCTTAAAATATGACAATAGATGTTGTTTTTTGGTGCTAGATTTGGGTTCGGGTAGGCGAAGTGGGGGGGGGGGGGTCTTTCCTTTTAACGATAGGGAAGACGCGTTAGGACAGTGGGGTAGAGAATGATAGCTAAAGTTACTTATACAGGTAAAGGAAGAAAAATCATCAATCATACCGTAACCGTTTTTTTTTAAAAAAAAAAAAAAAAACATTTTGTAACCTCGCTTCACCCTCCCGCCTTCAACAAGGCAGTTTGTGTTTACTTCAGACGAGCACTTTGTATGATAAAAAAACGCACAAATTCTCCCTGTAATAACTTAATCAGATAATGAATGGGAGCAAAAGGGGGAAGAAGGGCTGTCGTGCGATGACTTGCGACTAGTATTAGCTAATGAAGGACGAACGGGCTAACAAAGAAAGGGGAAAAAACTCTTGTATTTTTTTTTTAAACTATAGGGGAAAGTGAATTCAAGGTAATCACAAAGCGCTAATTAGAAACGTTTCGTTAAGCTCTGATCCTGAGTTTCGGGTGGGGATAAGTGGGGGAAGGGGGAGGGACGTACTCTCGAGGAAGTATGATGAGAGAAGATTTTTCAGTTTGAGTGATTTAAATGTTTTCAGGTCAAATTTCTATGTGGACAGAATTCCTGCAGAAAAACACGTTAAAAGAAAACGAAGGGAAAAATATATCCATAACTTAATAATGTAATGTTCATAGGTTAAAGTCTAAGGTATCGTAGATGGCACAATTGTTAGAGATTTTTTTTAAAAATGTGTTTAAGTCAGGATACATTAAGTGCATTTTTTTTTGTAATTGACGCGGTTAATACGTTGTCGTACATGTGAATATTTTATCCGTTGTCTTACAGGTAAATATTTTGTCCGTTGTCTTACACGTAAATATTTTGTTTGCTTTACTTGAAAATATTTAATGGTCCGCGAATATTTGGTCTTTAATTGTGTGAAAATACTTTGTTTTGCGTGTATCTAAATTGTCTTCCATGTAGCTATATTGTCTTCTATGTACGCATATTCTTGTCTGTGACTATATTGTCTTTTATGTACATACTGTCTGGTCTGTGACTATATTGTCTTCTATGTACATACTGTCTTCTATGTACATACTGTCTGGTCTGTGACTATATTGTCTTCTATGTATATACTGTCTTCTATGTACATACTGTCTGGTCTGTAACTATACTACACCGTCACTAGCTAGGTAAACACAAGTCTGGTTGAGTGTATCTTGAATGTCTCCTGTTACTCGCTGAATCAAACGACAGAGTCACTCACCTTCTGCGTACAACTTGGTCACCGAGTCACAGCCCGGACCGTCCATCAGCATGCAGGTCACGGTGACCAGCGATGCCATCAGGCTCCACAAGACCAGGGACCTGACCACAGGCGAGCTGACCATGTTGAGTTCCGTGGGTCCACCAGCCATGGTTGTGAGAACCCTTGCGCTGACTAAAGATCAAAGGTTGATTTGTTTTCTTTCCTCACCGATAGGGGAGGTGACTGGTCAGATATCCGAAACAGTTGTCTAGAGTTATCTAAACCTCCTTGTTTGGCAGTGAATTTATTTACTACACTGTAAAGAATTCTACACAACTAAACGGTTAATTCCTGATAGAATAAATCCAAGTTTAGAAGAAGAAAAAACACGTTTCTTGCACTTCAAAATCACAGTATGATGAAACAATCACGATTTTGATTGAGTTATTAATGTTTTAGTAGACAACTTTAAATGTTGCAGATTATTGAAGTTTGTCCTGAAGGCTACGAGTAAATGTGGGCAGAAAGGTAGAAACTGTGCTAATATAGAATCTGTGCTAATGTAGAATCTGTCCTGATATAGGGTCTGTCCTAATGGGTCCACCGGTTATCGCTTGTGGCGTAATCGCTGTAATTACTGCACGGTTTGTTTCAGACACAAAGAGCATCCGACCTCAATTTTTAACTCACTCTTTTTGTCCCTTACTCACAAACACATTATCTCCCTTCGGGCAATGTCCACCGCTGAGTAGCCGCCCCTGAAAGCAAACAATATAAATATTTAAGCATGGGCACTCAGACAGGTACAATCTAAGGGGAATAAATCATTAGCTGCATATCTTTTAATGAGAACTATGATAACAAATATTGGCTGATATTTTCAGATATGCTATTTCTTTGTGTTTTATCATATTTTAGGCAGGAAAAAAAATAATTCTGGACATATTAGATTTACAGATGATTCTGTATAAAAGAACAAAAGAAACGTGAACTGAGTGGAAAAAAATGTTGAAATAATGTAGAGCGATGTGTTAATATAAAAACAATCTTTCATACAAAACCAACAACAAAAAACAAGTGAATCGGGTGTAGCCTATGAATTAAACATTAAACGTCATTGAATATTTTTTTTAAAATCATACAATATATTCCAGCCTGCAGACGTAATACAATATGTTTATTGGCACGAAAACACATTCTCAGAAAAGGTATTGCTTTTCAAAAAAAAGTAGGGTAAAAATCTTTTTTTTTAATTTAAATTAATTGTATTAAAAAAAAAATAATAATAACATTTGTATAGAAAAAAATATATTTAAAAAATGAAAACACTTTTTTAAAAATCATTTCAATTCAATGATGGTAACCCCCCCCCCCCCACCATCCCCCTCCGTTCGCCCCCCCCCCCTCCCCCCATACGCAAGTATAAACAAGAGACAACGCTGAAAGCGACAGGGCACCTTTTAGTATCGGGGCCACATCTCTAACTCTATAGCGCCGCCGTGGACACATAAAAGGAAATGGAGATGAATAAATTATGCATGGACAAGAATTGCATTGACGACCGTGAACAATTGAAACTGTGGAGGTGTAATGACGGCAAGTAATGACGGCAAGAGCTGGCGGCAAGTAGTGGCGGCAAGTAGTGACAGCATGTAATGACGGCACGAGAAATGACGGCAAGTAATAACGGCAAGTAATGACGGCAAGTAATGACGGCAAGTAATGACGGCAAGTAATGACGGAAAGTAATGACGGCAAATAATGACGGCTAATAACGACGGCACGAGAAATGGCGGCAAGTAGTGACGGCAATTAGTGACAGCAGAGACTGTCGGCAAGAAGTAACGTAAATAATTGGCAGCCAGCTCTAACGAGGAATCTACAGCAAATAACGACGACAGGAGTTGAACCCGACACACAATGACAGGTTTATAATTGGCGAGGTTTGCTGACTTGGTTGGTCAACCTCAGGTGTATTTTGTCTCTGTTATATAGTGGGCAGACATCAGGGAAAGTTGTATAAATAATATATTCATAGGTTTGCTCGGAAAATATACCAGAAGCGATGTAAAAAATAGTTTTGTTAACTGACATATAGGCCTACTTTAAATAACTGAAACAATGAATGTCACATAAAGTTTTTATAGCTAAAAAATACATTTAAAAACAAAATTAAAATAGATGCAAACAAATTATTTTCGTTATCTAAGGAACAAATCTGGCAGAGGTATTGAGTCAATAATACAGGTGGGTATTTTTTTATTAGAGCCTTTCACTCGCCATCACGTGACCCCCGTGTGGCGTGCGTGCTACAATTGTTACATCACATTATTCTATGGCATGTACAAAGGCTGCACTAGTATGGCTGTATATAGCATAGAACATACCACACGATACATAGAAAACTACCACTGAGTTGACCGTACATAGCATAGAACATATCACATAATACATACAAAACCTGCACTAAGTTGACTGTACATAACATAGCACATAATACATACAAAACCTGCACTTAGTTGACTGTACAGAACATAGCACATAGCACATAATACATACAAAACCTGCATTTAGTTGACTGTACAGAACATAGCACATAGCGCATAATACATACAAAACCTGCACTTAGTTGACCGTACATAACATAGCACATAGCACATAATACATACAAAACCTGCACTTAGTTGACTGTACAGAACATAGCACATAGCGCATAATACATACAAAACCTGCAGCTACTTGAATGTACATAGCATAACACATAATACATACAACCTGCACTTAGTTGACCGTACATGGCATAAAACATAGCACTAAGCACACAATACATACAAAACTTGCACCTAGCTGACTGTACAGAGCATAGCACATAATGCATACGAAATCTGCACTTAGTAGGCCGTACATAACAATATAGCACACAACGCATACAAAGCCTACGTTACCAGACTGCCTACAACATACACTATTTGTCTTCGTCTTTATGATTGTATAAGAAACAACAATAAAGAGTAAAAAAAAGTGGTTGTTTCCTTATATTGAGGTTTATTCTGTCCTTGCAATAGTGGTAACTGTGTAAGGAAGAAGGAAGAGGGGGGGGGGGGGGCTCGAATAGTTTAAAATAAACATTTAAAAGCACGACCTAGTAGTTGTGGGGTCGAAATGTTTTAAATCTAAAACTAAATACACAATAAAAATTGTTTAATTCATGTAAAATAGTTGATGTGAGTACACGTAACTGCTAGAGTGCAGGAAACGCTAAGCGAAGCACTTTCGCGCGTGTTAAAAATGCTAGAAACACGAAGTAGAACAAGCAATGGTGGCGAGTCGATGCGAGCACACGAGTTACCGTTCCTGTAAACCTACAGTCGAGGTCGGAAACGTCACATCAGGAGTGAGAGCAAATCCACTTTGGCCCATTGATACGGCAACAAAACAAAAATCGAAGGGACGAGAATAGAGCGAGATGATTAACGGGGCAGCGCTGGTAGAATACCAGCAGAATACCAGGTCAGTCCGTGACCTACAAAAATGGTCGGGTTATTGCGGGATTATTAAAACATTTCTGGGCTGTTAGATTGTGGGTGGTTAGGGACACATTTGTGGGGGGGGGGGGGGGGGGGGGGGGGGGGCTAGGGACACATTTGTGGGGGGGGGGGGGGGTTAGGGACACATTTGTGGGTGGGGGGGGGGGTTAGGGACACATTTGTGGGTGGTTAGGGGCACATTTGGGGGTGGTTAGGGGCACATTTGGGGGTGTGGTTAGGGACACATTTGGGGGTGTGGGTTAGGGACACATTTGTGGGTGGTTAGGGGCACATTTGGGGGTGGTTAGGGGCACATTTGGGGGTGTGGTTAGGGACACATTTGGGGGTGTGGTTAGGGACACATTTGGGGGTGTGGGTTAGGGACACATTTGTGGGTGGTTAGGGGCACATTTGGGGGTGGTTAGGGGCACATTTGGGGGTGTGGTTAGGGACACATTTGGGGGTGTGGGTTAGGATGTGTTAACGGATAATCATGTGTGGGTGTGTGGTTCTTCTTTCTTCTTCTTCTTCGTTCTTAATTATTAGTGTTGAAGAGGATCGAGATTTATCTGCAAGTGGGTTTGAACTCGAGACTTTGATCGAATTTATCCAACCATGAGCTTTTTGCCGACTCGACCACGCCTCCAACACAATTAAGCGTTACGTGTCAACTGGTTATGCGCCATTGAGGCCATTGACTCCGATTTCAGCCTGCTTTTCTTTTTGGATTTGCTTCCATAGCCTTTGTCCAACCAAGAACAAACTACAAGGCAGCAGTTGTTTAATTTTGGAGTTGTCTCTCCTAGAAGAGTGGCTGTCCCCAGCTAACGAGCCTCATCTGCCCGAGGGTTCGAACTCCAGACTTTTCGGTTTAGCAACCATGAGCTTTACCGTCTCGACCACGCCGACCCCTGGTGTGTGGTTAGTAACAAACATTTGTGAGAGCGTAAATAGAGACTGACATTTATAAACACGTGGTAGTTTTGTACCCAGGATCAACACATTTTGATTGTACGATTATGTACGACCAACGGCATCTGTGGCCGTAGCCTCAAGTTATCTGGAGTTTCTATGTAAGTTTTGACAAAACCATACATGTACAAATAACACGTATTGTAGAGCTATTCCGTTGTTGCAGTCACCAGAAATATCGTCACCAAATGCTTGACCTCTTCGTTATTTCAAACAGCTGAATACAGTGGCAGCATGTTAAAATATATCGGCCTGAGTCAACAAAGTCCTCAGACAAATCAGTGCTGTTGTACCGAGCCCGGCTTCCACACGCCAAGGGCGACAACTCCTTCCCTTGACCACTGCAGATGCCGGCTAAGCCGCCCCGTGCCGAAAGTTAAATTTGGGTGCCTTAAGGGTTTAACGATTATTGAGACCGGGATGGCAAATCGACCAGAGCCAGAATTGCACGTGGATTCGCGCCCACGCCCGTTTAATTACATTAAAGATGCGCACCAATTTGGTGCGGATTTACCCGCGGGCTCGTGTTGTCGCACCGCGTGCGGGAGCCGGTGGAAAAAAAATGGCCCGGCTTTGCTTTCAGTCGCGGCGTGGATTTAACTTTCACTCTCGGGTCAGGGGTTGGGGGTGCGCGGGTCAGGGGTTGGGGGTTACACTGGGGGAGCGATACAATAGGGCAGACTCCCCAGCGGTTCTCAGTTCAAAATAAAGAATAGTATTCATGAACACAACCGAACGGACATACACAATTTCTTGAACACATTTTGTATTTCCTCTATACTCTATACTGAATAGTCGCACATTGTTTGTTAAAAGCGGTGTTTTATGCAATAACATCTACACGCCTTGGCCTACATCCACAAGGCTCAGAACTAAGTACTCGTAATTAGCGTTGCCCTAGTTAACCTGACAAAGGAAGCAATTAAAACAATTAACCTCCAAGTTGGCTCATCAACGAAGACGATATCATTACAGAGATATTAGGGAAAAAAATCGTATGCACAATGATGATATAAATTACGGCAAACACACGAGCTGACGACAATAATACGAGCTGTAATAGCTCTGGATGTGAACCCTATAACAGCGTACACGAAGCGGGCATGTGATCATATTCTCCCCACACGAGCCGGTCATGTGATATTCTCCCCACACGAGCTGTAATAGCCCTCGTGTGGACCCTATGACGGTGTCCACGAGCCGGTCATGTGATATTCTCCCCACACGAGCTGTAATAGCCCTCAAGTGGACCCTATGACGGTGTCCACGAGACGGTCATGTGATATTCTCCCCACACGAGCTGTAATAGCCCTCAAGTGGACCCTATGACGGTGTCCATGAGCCGGTCATGTGATATTCTCCCCACACGAGCTGTAATAGCCCTCGTGTGGACCCTATAACAGCGTACACGAGCAGGTCATGTGATATTCTCCCCCAATGGCTGCCGGGATTTGTCCGGCGTCTAATCTCTAGGACAAAAGCCGCGAGTCTCTGAGCGGGGCATGCATTGCGGGGTGAGTGCGGTCAACAAAAGCCTTGGTCAGGCCTCACGTACACGCTAACCTTGGTCAAGATTCTTGGTCAGTGCTCACGTACAAATTAACACTGGTCAGGATCATTGGTCGGCATTCATCATATGCAATGTAAATTCTGAAAGAGACCACCGTTTGAAAGGTATCGGAGTTTGGGTGGGCAACTTCTTTGTTGGAGGGTTGGGGGTATTTTCTTGAACATAACAATTTTGCAACCTTAATACAAAGAGTTTTTTTTTACAGTGTGTACCTAATACACAAACATCTGCTCTAAGCAGAGACAGGGGGTGGGGGAGGGCAAGAGTATATACCTTTATACTAAATACTGCTTCCCGAACGGACGGGTGGACAGACGGATGGATGGACAGATAAAGATAAACACTAGAGACAGACAAAGAGGCAGAAAGACATAAAACGAGAGACAACAGACTTGCGCCATTTACATCTATGACCTCTAATGAGCTATAAAGCTTTTGTAAATAGCTAAGACATAAAAAAATATTCTCTGAAAATGGCGGTAATTTAACATTTTTAATCATTAAAAAAATCGAGCGCACGGTCGTAAAATAAAGAAGGAAATAATTCTCTCGTGGGCAGTTTAAAAACTCATTACAGAATGTTAATGGCTCTACGTTAGTTTTGTTAATCCTCAACTTCAACATCATGCATATCTACACATACACATATATATTCTACACTTCCACACACATATCCCACACTTCCACACACATATCCCACACTTCCACACACATCCACACATCCCATCCAATCATCCAAACACTCCCCACAACTCTCACAGTTAAATTACACCACATCGACCCACCACACACATTTACACATATCCCCTACCAACCCTCACACTTAACTTACACCACACCGACCCCACACATATCCCTACCAACCCTCACACTTTACTTACACCACGCTGACCCACACACAGATCCCCTACCAACCCTCACAGTTTAATTACACCACACCAACCCACACATATCCCATACTGACCCTCACAATTTACTTACACCATACCGACCCACACATATGACTACCAACCCTCACAGTTTACTTACAGTTCAGTAATATGTCCTTATGGGGAGTCGACTCTACTTTCATCCTTGTATGTCCACAACTACGTCAACATCTGAAACAAGAATTGAGAACCATTAGGGCTGTGACTAATACGGAATGGCGTGTAATGACGGATGATGTATCTGGTATGCATTGACGGCATAGTGTGTGTTGTGTCATGAGGTCATGTTGTGTGTTGTGTGTAATGACGGATGATGTACGTAGTGCGTATTGACGATATGGTGTGTGTTGTGTAATAACGTCATTTTGCGTGTTGTATATGATGTCCGAATGATGTGTGTTGTGTGTAATGAGGTCTTGGTGTGTGTTGTGTGTAACGACGCATAATTTATGAAGACATGATGTCTCGTCTGTGTGTAGAAACTCTATGTTGTTCCTACACAAGGCCATTAGCCGGACTAGCATAGAGCTAGCCCCAACCCCACCATCAATTAACGCACATTGTTATCATTCAACATATTAGATGACAACAAAGCAAACAAAAACTTTAAATTCTCCTATAAAACTACATTGACCCGTGTTCACCTATCTTTCCGTACAAGTTACGTGTGAATATTACGTTTAGTGTTATCATTCTCTAATCATAATAGCAAAAACGTTCATTTTTATATGAACGGTTTAACAAATGATTTAAAGTATTTGAAGCTAAAATAAAACAAGGCATTGTTAAAATATGTTACTCTGCTCAATAGATATACCCGGGCGATTCAGATAATTGTTAGTTATTATGTGCTGCAAAAGATGTATTTGCATAAGTAAAAATTGTAGATGGCGAGCAATTAAAACATCAATAGGATGAATATGTATATTTAGTTTTAAAACTTTTTGTTGAACTACTAGACTACAGAAGGTAGTGTGATGACAAAATAGTTAAACAATGTTAAACTAAGTTATACCACAGTAGATAGTTAATGACAAGATAGTTAAACAATGTTAAACTGTGATCAATAGTTTAACACATCCTTTAAAGTTGAACTAGTACAGTCGAATGTTGAATGGCACTTGGATTTGTTTCAACAAGAGCCGACGTTTTTTTGAAATTCAATCAATTCTCTGTTTGCTGTGCAAATATTCCAAACATTTGATCAAACACAAATATTAAGATTGGTAAAGTGATTATAGAAATGTTCCAGTCGTAGATAGCATTGTGACGAGGATTATTTGAATAGATGATGGGGCTGACATTTTGGGGTGATGGGGTCACTGTGCTAAGGTGATGGGGGTTTCCATACTTTGGGGTTGTTATATTGAAGTGATGGGGTTGACACGCTGGGGCTGTGTATGTTGTTGAAAAGAACATGTTGAAGTGGTCTTGTTGGAAGCTCGGTCTCTGTAAGAACAGACTCGTGTCTCTATGTCCATTCTTTTCTTGCTTTGTTAGTTAGGCTCCAATATCTGCATCATCTTTATTCATTTACTCTCGACTAGTAAACTAACATTAAAGATAAGAAACGACGAAGCGAAACTAGATACAACAAAGAAAAACTTCAAGCATAAAAAAGCAATATTTTTTTAACACGTTCAAAGGTTAACTACGGCCCCGTGAGTTATGAAAAACACCTTGGAGGCTAATCAATAGGTAAAACACCTTGGAGGCTAATTAATAAGTACACGTAAATGAAATTAGTGACATAGTCAAGGACATGTCGCCATCAAGCCCCGTCCATGACATACGGGTAATCAGCTAGTAGTGCAGCCCCCAGCACTATAATCCACAATCAGGGACCAGCCCGCGGTCGATAGCCCTGACAGACACGGCTTTACCGGACATGATGATCGCGGGAAAGTTCTAGAAAAATACCACCTGAGTTAAATAAAAACACCGCATCCGTGAAAAAGAATATATACCACCTGAAACAAATGAAGAACCACTATTTTTGGGGACTAAACAAATACCATATAGTGAGGGAAAAAACAACATCAGTTGATGTTTAATTCGTATGCAGCAAATTGAGACAACATATTACTAAGTCCAAGACTGAAGGAACTAACATATCAAAACGTGCATGACGGATAGACGCTACTGTCTCAAACCACCAATCACATTAAAGATTACGAACTATCTGAAGAAGTTCTATAAGACTTCAAGTTCTGCGAGGTACTGGCGCAATTTTTATTGAACAACCAACCACAATCATCACAGAATATTTCGGTAAATTTTAACATCAAGTTTTAAAACTCTCAAATAAATGTGTTTTAAACTGAAATTTTGTAATGGCCTACTAGTAGTAAATAAAATACGATTCAAATATATTGGATGCAAAGTGGGGTTTTATTGGATTTTTGTTGATCAATTTTGTATCCTGTTTTTTTAAAAACAAAATGTAACACACGATAAGGATCTGAGAAGTATGTGTGTGTGTGCTCGATGTTAGAGAATGATGTGTGAGAAGGGTGTGTGAATGAGTGAGTGGGGGTTGTGAAAGAATAGTGTGTGTGTGGGGGGGGGTGAGGGATGTGAAAGAAGGGTGTGTGTGGGGTGTGAGGGATGTGGGAGAAGGATGTGTGAGAAGGGTGTGCATGAGTGAGGCATGTGTGAGAACTGCCCGTGGCTTTAGGAAAGAAAATATTTGTTGGGTATCAGGTTACGTTCGTTAGAAAGGGGCGGGGAAAACCATTTTTTTTTTGGTTTGAAATGGAATACTCACATTTGCATGATACCTCATTAAAATTTGCATTCTCTCCCTTCCCTGGTTTATCTGACCCTACCTGCCCCACCCTCCTCCATGTCACATGACCCCCCCCCCCTCCAACCAACCTCATGTTTTTTAAAAAGCTTCTCATGTGAATTTTAAAATATTCCTAAAGAAAACATGTCCGTGTACGTAAACAGCAATTATTTTTTTTATTATGTGAAAACAAAATAGGTGCATCTATGAGAAACAAATATGGCTGATCTAACGCGCCACAACCTTGCACGTGGCAGAGATAATGCATTCGCGCATGCGTATGTCAGGGTACAAAGTGAAATAAGAGACCAATCCTAATGCAGTTTTTTTTTTCTGTCTTTTTCTTTTTCTTCCTAGCTTCAGAGCGAGAAGGGTCTATGAATATGGATGCTGTCTGATTCAGACGAATTTGTTTTTTTTCCTTTCTTCGTGTGCTCTGCAGGATAAGACAATTCTCGGAAACTCGCTGCGAAGGACTCGTGTTAAAAATGCAATTACATGGAACAAGGGGCGCATAAATCTGTTGACGGGGAGACAATCTAGACTACACGGGCATGGGATTGATCTCTTTGCTCATTTAAATGGTTTCTTAAATAATGCAAGGATAAATTGCGCAGGTAATTTTACATGTCGTGTTTGTGGAAAAAAAAAAGAGAGTCGGGGGGGGGGGGGGGTGCATTGTACATTAAAGAGAAATGTCTACGGCTACAGAGCGCTGGTCAGTCGTAAGTAGTATATTAGGTCACTTTTGGGTCGTATTTGGGTGGCGCAGGCCGGATGTACAACGAAATATAGTAAAATACTCGCAGGGTGAAGGGTGAGGCGCAGGGTGAAGAGGGTGGCGCAGGGTGGCGCAGCGCGTGATGTACAATGACATATAGCAAAATACGCGCAGGGTGAAGGGTGAGGCGCAGGGTGAAGAGGGTGGCGCAGGGTGGCGCACCCTGGATGTACAACGAGATATAGTAAAATACTCGCAGGGTGAAGGGTGAGGCGCAGGGTGAAGAGGGTGGCGCAGAGTGGCGCACCCTGGATGTACAATGACATATAGTAAAATACTCGCAGGGTGAAGGGTGAGGCGCAGGGTGAAGAGGGTGGCGCAGAGTGGCGCACCCTGGATGTACAACGAGATATAGTAAAATACTCGCAGGGTGAAGGGTGAGGCGCAGGGTGAAGAGGGTGGCGCAGAGTGGCGCACCCTGGATGTACAATGACATATAGTAAAATACTCGCAGGGTGAAGGGTGAGGCGCAGGGTGAAGAGGGTGGCGCAGGGTGGCGCAGCGCGGGATGTACAATGACATATAGCAAAATACGCGCAGGGTGAAGGGTGAGGCGCAGGGTGAAGAGGGTGGCGCAGGGTGGCGCAGCAGCCTGGTACAACGAGATATAGTAAAATACTCGCAGGGTGAAGGGTGAGGCGCAGGGTGAACAGGGTGGCGCAGGGTGGCGCAGCAGCCTGGTACAACGAGATATAGTAAAATACTCCCTAGGGTGGCGCAAAGGTTATATAGCAAAATACTCCCCCAGCCTGGTACAATGAGATATAGTAAAATACTCCCTAGGGTGGCGCAAAGGTTATATAGCAAAATACTCCCCGAGTTTTTATTACGTAATTTGATTATTTTTTTTTTTTTTTTTTTTTGATTTTAATGAATTTAATTACTTTGTTTATTTTTTTGTAATTTTTAAATAGTTTGAATTTAATTTAATTACTTTGTTTATATTGTGTAATTTTTTATTAACCTTGTGACGTAATTTTAACGAATTTTTTAAATTAGTTTTAATGAGTTTTTAAAATTATAATTAATTAATATTACGTAATTTGATTATTTGTTTGATTTAAATTGTTTAATTTGATTGTTTACTTGTTGTTTATTTGTTTGAAATTCATTTTATGCAGTTTGATTTTAACTACTTTGTGTATTTGTTTTATTTGTTTGATATATTTATTTTCTTTGATGTATAGTATTTAAAATAAAAGACTAACGCTAACGTATACTTTGTGTCATGACTTCCATTTAACCAGTCGTGTAACACCTGTTACGTATCGATTCACCAGCTATCCTTTGTTTTCTCACCGCTGCCCGTTTTAATGGGAATGTATTGATCGCAGCCGCTGGCCCATCACAGCATGATGTCCCACCTAATTAAATTTTTTTTTTTTTTTTTTTTGTTATGCTTCACCGAGTTACCCCCGCTCGGTTGACGGGTTATGGTAATTAACGACATACATTAAGTAGCTTTCCGCGAAGCACTTAGGTCATTATGCAACAGCTGTTGTGCGACAGCTGGTGCTGTAATTAGGCCGTTCAACCGGATAAATGACCGCGAAAATTGTGTTCTAATCACTTCAACTTCGGACTTCAAATCAAGCGTCACCG